GCCGAGGCGTAGCTGGCAAGCGGCAGAGACGGAGCAGGCCGACCACCAGCTGGCCCAGCCCAAGGGAGGTAAGGCACCCGCTGGAAAAGGGGGAAAAAATGGCGGACAAAAAAAATGGCGGACAGCCTTGCTTGGCGACCCCCATGAAATGGTCGATCGACCCCAAATGGGGTCCCGACCCACAGGTTGAGAACCACTGGCGTACAGTCTGTGTTTGTTTGCTTTCTTACAATCCAGTAAAAAAGGGCATAAAACAGGCCTGTCCCACCCATGGCCCACGGGCTGCAGGAGCCTCTGGTCAGCTAGTAATGCGGCCCAACAAGCTCGTAAACCTTTAATATTATTCTGGTATTTACATACGTTAACCATATTACCTATTTTATATATGGCCCAAGACAATTCCTCTTCACTCAGTGTGGCCCAAGTAAACCAAAAGTTGGACACACCTAACTGTATGACTATAAATGAAAAACTGGAAGTGAAAAGTGAGTGTGCATGTATAAAATGTGAGACTGAGAACGACAAGGTAGGTGTGTGGTGGAACTGAGTCAGAGAGAGAAGTGAAGAGCCAATTCTTCAAGAATGAAAGCTTTTTAGAAAGGAAGGTGCAGTCATTTTAGAAACGACCATGAGAACAAAGCAAATGTTTTGTTGTTCTACCCGTATTATATTTTGCAAACCTTCCTGTGTCCTCAGAACCAAAAGTGCTGGAGACTCTTATAGGAGTAGTGTGCTAAAGCTGGAAAATACTCCTAGATGCATGAGAATTGTAGAAATGGAATTTAATAGCATTGTACACAGCGTTCCACTACATAAAACAGTATCTGAAATTTATCTTTTCTTTAAACCTAACATAACAGAATGTTACTAGAACCCTGAATACTTAATTATTTCTGGTCTTATGAACATAATAGAAATAAATGTATTTATATATCATCATCATTCATCATCATTTTAGCCATGGTCTCTCCACTGCAGGACGAAGGCCTCTTCCGCATGTTTCCAACCAATACGGTCCTGAGCCTTCTTTTGCCAATTGGGCCCGCAATACTTGCTAATGTCGTAGATCCATCTTGTTTTAGGTCTCTTTTGTGGACGCTTTTGATCAAGTGGGATCCATTCTACTGTGTTTCCCCCAAAATAAGACCTGGTCTTATATATTTTTTTGCCTCCAAAAGAGGCATTAGGTCTTATTTTCAGGGGATGTCTTTTTTCCCCCAATGTCTCGCCCCACCACTGCGGCACCAACAGCCCTGCCCAGCAGGAGCCCACATGGCCGCCAACAGCCCAGTTCATCTGCAGCCGCTCGCCACCATTCACACATGTCGCCCCCAGCCTCCGTTCCGCTGGTAGAGGCCTTTCCTGAAGGCTACTGCCACGGGTGATGTGTGAGAGCGGCGGCGAGCGGCTGCAGAAGTGGGCCGGCGGCGGCCACACAGGCTTCTACTGGATGGGGCCGTTGGTACCGTTGCCACAAGGCAAGGCAGGTGTTGTGGCGTGGGAGGCCTGGCTGTGGCAGTCCTGAGGTAAAGTGGATGCGGGGAGCATGGGGCAGCTCCACCCCCCCAGCTTGATTTTTAAGTGTGCGCCTCACCCCACCTCGTGCAACCAGATGGTGGGACAGAGTGGGCGGGTTTTAACTAGGGCTTATTTTGGGGGAAGGGGTTATATTAGGCACACAGATAAAAAATCAAGCTAGGGCTTATTTTTGGGATAAGTCTTATTTTTGGGGAAACATGGTGTGACTGCCTTGGTCCACCGGCCCTCAATTCTTCTTGCTATGTGACCAGCCCATTTCCATTTCAATTCTTTTACTCTCTTGATGATATCGTATGCTTTTTGTTTATTCTCTAATCCATGTGCAGGTCTTTCTATCTTGTCTTGCAATGCCAAGCACGTATCTTTCCAGGCTCTTTGCCCCATGTACTCATATGTAACTTTTATGTGAATGCATTTTGGGAGATCCAGTTCACTTTATAGATGCAAATTAATTTTAATCCATTTAAATCATTCACCAGGTGAAAAGAACAATATACTAGTAAAAAGAACAAATATAAAGAAAGAGCAGAAAACATACTTTCTCTGCTATAATCTCTGGCAGAGATTCTTCTATGCCAAGTTCACGCCGCCTTTCTGCTCGAACCTCAGCATAGCTACAGATAGAAAAGTGAAAATATCGGGATATTATCAAAACACACAAGCATGGGCGCCATTTAAGATGTTATATTTTTAGTTCTGTAGAGTTCTCTACTAAAACAAAACATAATTATAATTCAGAATTAACGTAATCATACGACGTTTGTCTTGACTAACTCAGATATTTTTCACTAGCCGTTTTCCTGAAGCTTAGTTGAAATAGCAAAAGCAAAATAGAAGTAGAAAATGGTTTCAACCAATTAAAGTAAAAAAGTGATGCAGAATTATGTTACCTTACTACTGTGTGTGTACACACGATGAATTCTGGTCTAGAATTCCATTGATGGTAGGTGATATAGTAATGAGTCTGCAACCAAATCCACTGCTGGCCTTTTGTGAGGAATCGGTAATAGCAGGATTTCCCTTTCCCGTACTGCATTACTACAATATGAAACAACAAAGGGGAGGGGGCTTCACAAGATGCTGACTCTGGGATATGGTCTGAAACAGCATTTGTTTACATTTTCTTGACAGGCATCTAAATGTCTAAACATAAAGAGTCCAAATCTGCTGGAACATATTATACAAGGAGACAAGATATCCAAATACAGGCTATATAAAACACATTGGTTTTTAAAAAGTCGGCAAAAAAGGCATTTCAACACGACTTTTAAAATTTGCCAAGATATGCCAAATCAAAGTGAGCTAATAATAAAAAAATAAAAAAGGAAGCCTTATTTAAAAATAAGGAAAACAGTTCTATGAATTTTATTTATAACGATTGCACCATTGGTACATTCTTTCTAAGCATGTTGCATTTCCTAAGCTTTAATTACAGGGGGAAAAATAGGAATATGTTTACCATTTGACATATTAATGGTGTTGCATTGGGTTCCTACCCTGGGCAAAGGTTAAACTAGATTACCTCCAAGATCCTTTTCAACTCTTATATTCTATGATAATGTAGGATGGTTATGTTATTACTTACAATGCTCATGACATTTTGCCAAATTTTCCAGGTCATCCACATGATAATAATCATAGCCTGATGTCCCCAACACTTCAAATGGTAAATAGCCTATAATTGGTGGTGCCCTGGATAATGATACAAGGATTATTTCTTTGGTTTTCAGAAATGAGAAAAAAAAATGCTATTTTTTTTTTCAAAAATGCATGGTTGGAATTAAATAAAAATATTCATCAACCACAACAGTATTCATTGTTTGCTATGCACAGATAAGGCCAAATAATGCCCACTTATGATAATAAAATGCTACTACTTGGGTACTATATTTCTAAGAAATGGCACCTGTGATCCAAGAAAAGGAATTTCCATTCTAAGCTATGCCTGGAGGTGAACTCTTCGTTAGGTTCTTCTACTGTGCTCATTTCCTAGAGAAAAAAAATATTTAAAAAAGGTAAGATTCTCAAGAATTCCTCTGATCTAATTTAAAGGCTCTTGTATGACCTCCAAGTCCCTTCCAACTTTTTTATTATTATATTATTATTATTATTATTATGAATCTGATTAATTTAATGAAACTAGCTGCACATGCATTACTATCAATTTTATAGGATGAACATTTCATCACCGCAGGAATTTTGTTCATGGGTTCAACAAAGGAACCACAGGCATCCCCAGCATATCCACCTATTTCTCTTCAGAGCTGGGAATAAGCCCGCAGATGTAGCTGGTCCCTGTACTATTTCCAATTGATAATTCATGTGCTGTATTCTTTTTTAAAGAGGGCAGCCTTTAGAAATCATTTCCAGCAATTTAATTTTGCATGATGAATGACTCACCACACAGATATCAGCATTTCTATAAGGAAGATATATCTGCTTTGGTTCCAGTACCAAACATTTGAGACATATAAGGTTAAGGTAAGACTTGGGCTTCATCCACTAGATCAGGGGAGTCAAACTCAATTTCATTGAGGGCCGCATCAGCACTGCAGTTGCCCTCAGGGGGCTGGGTGGGTATGGCCAGGGTGGGTGCGGCCTACTGGGTGGGCGTGGATGGAGTGGGTGTGGCCTACTGGGTGGGCATGGCCAGCTCTACATCGTTCGCGTCAAGGGTGCCTGTGGGGGCCTGGACAGGAGTGGGACAGATCTGAGGGTCTCTGGCAGAAGGGGGTGGGACCAGGGCAAGTGCCAAGGGATGGTCCACTGGAGGAGCCTCACTGTTCCTCTCAGGCCATACGGGGGGGTGGGTTATGGAGCTAAGACTGAATGCGTTTCAGCATAGATGGCCACCACAAAATTGTACATTGGCTCCCGGCCGGCCTNGTGGGACAGATCTGAGGGTCTCTGGCAGAAGGGGGTGGGACCAGGGCAAGTGCCAAGGGATGGTCCACTGGAGGAGCCTCACTGTTCCTCTCAGGCCATACGGGGGGGTGGGTTATGGAGCTAAGACTGAATGCGTTTCAGCATAGATGGCCACCACAAAATTGTACATTGGCTCCCGGCCGGCCTGGGCCAGGGCCAAGGCAGTAGGGGCCGTTCCCTCACTGTTTCCAGGATGGCTTCGCGGGCCACATGAAACCATTTCGCAGGCCGCATCCGGCCCCCGGGTCTTGTGTTTGACATGTCTGCACTAGATGTTACTAAAATGCAGCAAACAGAAGCTGGATGTAGATGCTTTCACATCTCCGGTACTTCACAAAAGCCCTTTGTCTAGGGCAGTGGTGGCAAACCTATGGCACGCGTGCCAGAGGCGGCACTCAGAGCCCTCTCTGTGGGCACGCATGCGGCCACCCCAGCCCCGCCTTCCCCACGGCCCCCTCCTCACCAGCAGCCCCCCTGGAGGAGAGTAGCCCCCGGGTGTGGCCTGCACGGAACAACACAGCCAAGGACATGGCAGACAGGCAGCAGGGACAAGACTCCGCCCTCGTGCCCCGTTGCGCGCAGATGCTGCTGCGGGGCGCGGGCAGAGGGCTTGGCCGCCATGGTGCTGCAGGGCTGCCTGAGCGATCTACGGCGGGCCGTGGAGGCGGTAGATGATCCTGCGGGCGGGCAGGGTGGGGGTGGGGCAAGCGGGACGGGGTGGTTTTTGGGCACTCAGTGTCTAAAAGGTACGCCATCACTGGTCTAGGGCAAATACCATTATTAGTTTGTTATTTTAACAACAAAATATCCTTTCTAGTCGGGAAACTGTTGCTTAATATTTAAATAACTATTAAATAAGAATAAATCAGTTTAAGTTAAATGCAAAGAACTAGCCAAAAAGATTTTGATGAAACAATTTTAACCAACCTTAATAAATTGAGGTGTAGCTAACCTAACTGTAGCTACAAGGCAAATTCTGTCTTCATACGAAGGCCTATGAGGTCGTTGGATGGTTTCTTCATAACCATTATGTGCAGAGTTAGGCACTATACAGAATAGAAAGAGTTTAAAATTACAATAACTTCAAAGCATCGGCACAAACACATATAAAATAAGCAATACTTCAAAATACAACACGCCATCACCTGAAAAATAAAGAGTTCACTTTTTAAATGAGAATTTAAATTATCACTTTAAATTAAACTTTAATTGCATTAAAGTGATATTAATCCAAACTCTTTATTTAGTTCAGGGGTAGGCAACCTTGGCTCTTTTATGACTCGTGGACTTCAACTCCCAGAATTCCCAGCTGGCTCAGGAATTCTGGGAGTTGAAGTCCACGAGTCATAAAAGAGCCAAGGTTGCCTACCCCTGGTTTAGTTAGTGAAACTAATTCATTAGAATAACCACTTGATTTTAATCAACAGCCAATTTTAATTTCCCACACGCTTCAGACTAAAAGCTAAAATATTCTACAACATTTCACAGTTTTGAATTGCAGAAGGAGAACGTGTAAAAGAGAATGCTAATGAATATAGACTTTGTTCATTCACCACACAGAGCTTATAACTAAAAGGTTTTAATTATTATTGGCCATCCATGAAGGGAAGGGAAGATCAAAGGTAACAGAAGTGTGATGGATCATGTCAGTGGCTTCCTCCATTTGATGAAAATGCCCTCAATTCTTCTTCCTAACCAACCCTAGCTGTTTGGTCCAGGGATGTCATCATTTACTATTATGGCACACAAGGAAAACCAGTTCCTGCTTGCCATTTATTCTGCTTACGGGTCTTTTCAGCAGTTCTCATCCCCATAATATTGTTAGTGCTGCTAAATGCCCTTTATTGTTACTATCAGAAAAAAAGCCTGGCCTGTCACATGAAGCTACTATGTGCTTTCTCTGTTTTCACATCCAGTCCCTAACAGAAAACAGCAGAAACCTCTGGAAAGAATGCCTACGTTGATGATCACTGTCAAAATAAAAATAAATATGATCAAAATGAGCTATACATAGAATTTCTGAAGATGCTGCTAGAGAGTTTCTCTCAGCATGTACAATAGAGGAAAATAAATAGTATGTTTTATGTATCCAAACACAAGGAAAATAAGGGTTATATTATGAGACCCAAATCTGCATATTTTTTGCTCCGATGTTACAAATATGAATAAAACTATATTTGTTCAAACAGTTATTGAGGTTTTCTGTCCATTCTGACAAAAAATATTCATTGTATTATAATACAGGTAGTCCTTGACTTACAACCTCAATTGAACCCAAAATGTTTGTTGCTAAGCAAGACAGTTATATGAATTTTGTCCCATTTTACAACCTTTCTTGCCACAGTTATTAAGTGAATCACTGCAGCTATTAAGTTAGTAATATGGTTGTTAAGTGAATGTGGCTTCCCCATTGACTTTGGTTGTCTGAAATTCATAAAAGGTGATCACATGATCCTAGGACATTGCAACCATCTATATATAAATAAAAATGTAAATGTTCGTTTGTTCAAAATCTTAAATCTCCAAAAGTTTTTCACCAATTGCTTTGAAATTTTGACACAACGTTGCATTCGAATACACGCGTGTTTTTATATATGTACTTTATATAGATGTCACACCTGTGACAGGTAAAAACATGCTTTTTTGAAAAACAGCGCCATCTGTTGGCTGAGTGAATGAGAGCCACAGCAACGCGTGGCTGGGTATAGCTAGTTATAAATATGAGTCAATTGCCAAGTGTCTGAATTTTGATGTCATGACCACGCGAAAAATGGTCATAAGTCACCTTTTTCAGTGCCCCTGCAACTTTGAATGGTCACTAAATGAACTGTTGGAAGTCGAGGACTCCCTGTATTTGCTTCATTGCACTGCAACTATTGGAAGGGAAATGGATGTACAGTAATGGCCAAAATTGTGGAAACCTTTTGGGAAAAGTGTACAGTAGAAATGCCACCTTTGGATAAGTTTCCACCCATTTTTCTTTTAATTTCTTTATAACTGTAGCCTCGTTCACTTAATATGGTTCCGTCCCTAGATGGTTCCGTCCCAGGCGACTGATGGACCCTGAGAGGTTCCTGATGGAGCTTGGGCCATATCCGGAGGATCTAGTCCACGACTCGGCGGAAAATCAGGCGGCGGCCTGGGAGACAACTGCCGCCGCAGCATTGGACCGAGTCGTGCCTTTGCGGCCTCTGACCCGACGTGGATCTCGACCATCTCCTTGGTTTA